TATCTCTTTGACTCTGCTTCATGTGATCTATTTCTTTCCTGTAGTGCTCATTCATGGAATCCATCATTTTTCTAATCCCCTCTATTTTTTTATCAATGTCTTCTTTAGAAGCAGTTATAAATTCTTTTACTGCAATTTTTTTTCAGATTGGGTTTCCTCCCTATGTTTCTGTAGTTGATTCTTAACTTCAGATGCTATGAGTTCTGAGAATTCTTTTTTTATTTCATAGAAGAATTCTGCTCTGAGTTCCTCTATAACTTTCTGCTATTGCTTATTTACTATCGACACTATTAATTCATACATTTGAGCAGATTTACAAATTTTGGATTTATCCAGTGGTGCCTGGCTTAGGTCTGGCTGCTGTGCTCAGCTCCTTCCTGCTGCTTCCCTTGAGGGTGAACCTGTTGTGCTCCTCTGGCAAGATGTTCTGCTCCTGGACTAGCGGGGTGGTTCTGTCCCCTACACACTCTGCAGGGATTACAGCTTCAGGGATTCACCCCAGGCCTGTATGCCAGGCCTGAGCTGAGTCTGGAGGGGACAAGGTGGATTAGGGGGGAGAGGCAGCTCTCCCACACACTCACCGGGCCTGGACTAGGACTGGATCTGGGGGTTCCCAGAATGCGACAGAAATTCCTATTCTTTGCGCGGGGTGTGGGGTGGTACTATGGAGTGATGAGGTGTCCCACGAGGGTGAAAGAGGGTCTCACCACACTGCGCCTAGGCTGGGACTAGTAGGTCAAGCGGGCATAGGGTAGCTGGAAGCTCTTCCACACACAAGGCCTAGGCATTACTGGGTCTGGGGGTTCCTGGAACGCGGCAGAAATTCCTACTGGACAGGCAGGGTAGGGGAGATGCTGCGGAGTGGTGGGGGGCATCCCAAGGGGTGGAGAAGGATCTCACCCATGTGGCGCCTGGGCTGGGACCAGTAGGTCCCGCCGGCGCAGGGTAGCCGGAAGCTCTCCCACACAGCAGTGGCAAGCCTTTTAGAGATGAGTGACCACACAGCAGCCCAGAGCCACTTGCTTAGCGTACAGTGCTAGTGCTGCTGTTCAACTTGAATACTGTGGTTTTAATTTATGAAAAGCCAACTCATACATTAACATATTTTGTCTTAAAGAAAAACAAATGCACGCGTGCTTACTGCCACTGTTCTAGGACATTTCCCTGCATTTATGGTACCTGGTGCGTAGGAAATGTTTATAGGGTTACTTTGCACTAAATGTTTATAGTGGTCAAATAGCAAGACTACAAGCAACCTGGGGTGTGTGTGTGTGTGTGTGTGTGTGTGTGTGTGTGTGTGTGTGTGGTTTAAACCATTTGCATGCAAAAAAGGTAGAGATAAAGAATGTGTACATTTGTAATTGCTTGTATGTACCCAGGATATCTCTAAAATGCTTCTTTTTCTTCCTTTCCTTTTTTTTTTTTTTCTTTTTCTGATACTGGGGATCAAACTCTTCAGCACCTTGCACTTGCCAGGCAGGCGTTTGTGCCACTGAGCTATGTCCCTGGCCGATATCTCTAAGATGAATCATAATAAATTAGTAGTATTTGGGGAGAAGGAAGGGAGAGCCAGACTGTTTTCATTTTTATCTTTTTGTATCTAAAAATAATAGAAATTCACTACCTATTCAAAATAATTTATGAGCATTTTCAAAAAAGCAGCTTGAAAGACTAGTTTCTTCAACAAATGGTGCTGGGATAATTGAGTTTTCATACCTCTCACCATGTATAAAAATTAACCCAAATGTATCATGAAACTAGAAGAAAACACAGAAGGAAACCTTTGTGAGCTTGAAGAATGGGCAAAATACTTGGAAACAGACATTCCCCCCTCCAAAAAAAAATGATACTATGGGCTGGGCACCTGTGAGTTCTAGGCCTTACTAGACTGCACTCAGTCGGGCCAGCCTGAGGTCTACATGGTAAGACCCTGTCTCTACAAAACAAAAACAAACAAAACAAGTATGGACAGTAGAGAAGGACTTGGTGGAAGCTGCTAGACATCATTCTTTAGGGAAATGCAAAGAAAGCCATGAGACCCTCCCACATACCTTATTGGTGGGTCTAAAGCAGAAATGTACACAGCAGGTGGTAGTGAGGATGGAGAGCAACTGGCACTTTGACACACTGCGGGTGGGAACACGAGACAGGGCAGCCACTTTGTGAAATGGTTCTGTACTTGAAAAGAGTCATGCTGTTGCCATGTGACAGTGCGTCACTTTGCTCCTGTTGACCAAAGGCAAAGCGTCTGACTACACAGAGATTCATGCACATGGTTACAGCAGCTCTAACTGGTAGCGCAGAGCTGGAAACAACCCGTGCACCCAGCAGGTAAACAGAGAAGCAAGTTTTGATAAATCCAGAGAATAGAATACTGAGCACAGAAGAAAATAAGCTGATACTTGCAACAAATTGAATCTCAAAATGATTATGCTGCAGGCCTGCCGGTTAGTTCAGTTGTTTAAGTGCCTGCTGATGCAAACACAGTCAAGCGCAGGATACCCAAGTTCCATCCCCACCTCCACCTGCCTTACCAGACCTGCCCTTAAGGCAGCCTGAAACAGCCAAAAAACCCCAAAAAATCCTCAAAATGATTATGCTGGGTGAAATAAGCCATTCAAAACAGCTCATCTACTATGATGTATATGCATTATTTATATAACATTACAACAAATGCAAATGACTGTGACAAAACAGATCAGTGACCCCCCCCATAGGGTTGTGGGAACAGAGAACAATGGGAGAGTACAAAAGGACAAACATTTGGGATAACGAAGATGGTCACTGTGATGGCTTCAAGGGCTTGTGCGTATGTCAAGTTGTGCATTTGTTTACACATCTTATTATATGACACCTCTACCTCAGGAAGGCTGTTCAAAAATATGAATGTAATACCTGCTCAAAATGCTATGTTGAAATGGTTAACATGGAGTCTTGAAGGACAGAACTGTAGAGCCAGAGAACAGTTAGTAGGTTAGCAGGGGTGATTACAAAGAGGTGGCAGAAGGGCATAGCAGGATAGCGCGAGGGCCTTCCCTGATGCTGTGGTGGTCACACCAACACACGTGCAGCACCAGAGGGCTTCCAGTTGTGCGCACACTCACACCCCACACACACAGATGCGTGCCAGTGCAGGGGCAGAGGAAACTGAGTGAAGTCTGTTCCTTGTTAGCAGTAATGTCCCAGGGTTTTAATGTTGAGCCTCAGGGAACTCTACTGTTTCTGCAGTGTTCTGTGGGCCTACTTTAGAAGGAATAGTGCTCAGAATAGTATATCTTAAATAATAGCAGGGGCCTACTAGAAGGGTTTTAAAGACATAAAGTTCTAATACTTCTACTTGGGATTTATTCTGCTCTAACTCAGTTTTATAGGCATTAATATTCATTTTGGAGTTTATCGTATTAATGCATTTACATTTTTAAAAGGAAATGTTCAGGTATAACCACTTTCTGCCCCCTTTTTACATTCAGCTTCTTAGCCTTGTTTCTGTTCCTGTTTTCAAAGAGATTGACAAACATATTAGGTTTGTTCACATTTATTAGCAGATACCTTTGTCTTCCTTTTCAAGGGGCAAGTAGCTAATAAATATGGAATTGATATGTAGTGTGGATAAAAATATTTAAAGTCTTAAGTTTGGTGTCTAAATTGATGTTTCATTGAATCATATATATATATATATATGTGTGTGTGTATATATGTATGTATTTTTGGGGGGTTGGCTCAGCCTGCCCTGGGGGTGGGGCTTGCACAGTATGTAGTGATAGGGATCAAACCGCAGTCCCCTGTGCCTGCCTAAACTTGCCCAAACAGGCATTTTAGACCACTGAGCTATCTCACCAGCCCTGAATCACTAATACTTTGTGCTTTAGGAATTGACTGATTGCTTGTTTTGTTTTGTTTTTACTAAGGTGAAATCCATCCTTGAGAAAAATGAACACGAGCTGTCGCAAGCAGTGAAGTGCCGGGATGCAGCCCTGCAGGAGACTCAGAAGCTGAAAGGGGACCTGGAGGCCTTGGAGGACAGGGAAAGCAAGAAGGCAAGGCGCCTCCTTCTGCAGAATTTAGGAAACCTTTAACCTGCCATGATCCTTGAAGGTTTTATTGTTGTTGTTGTTGTTTGTTTTTTTAATAAGGAATCAAACTCAGGACCTTGCACTTGGCAGGCAGGTGCTGTGCCACTGAGCTATATCCCTGGCCCTCCTTGTCTTCTTGTTTCCATTAATAAAAAGAGTAAGGATTGCTTTCTCTAGAGGAAAGATAAATTTAGAATAGCTTAAAAAATACAGTCTATAACTCCCACTGTTTAAATGGATGAAAAGGAATAGTCTTAATTCTATTAAAACTCATCAGAAAGCCAGGTATGATGGCAAACAGATACAATCCAAGGGCACAGGAGGGTGAGATAGGAGGATCACAAATTCAATTCCAACAGAAATTTATGGAGATCCTATCTTAAAAAGCACTGGGGATGTAGCTCAACTGGCCCTGGATTCAGTCCCTAGAAATGGGAAAAAATAAAACTAGAGTAACATCTTGACCTTGTTATGCTAGCCTTCATGCTTATGTTGACCTGATGAGACAAGTGGTGTGGCCGTGGTGGTGCACACTGCAGTCGCAGCATTCAGGAGGCCCAGGCAGGAGGCCAGCCAAGTGACATAGTAAATTCTAGGCCAGCAAGGGAGCCTGTCTCAAAACAAAAAAATTAGACAATGTTTTCCCTTTAGTATTCATATGATATGTCTTTTTTTGTTTTGTACAGGGGATCAAATTCAGGACCTAATGCTCGCTAGGCAGGTGCTTATGCTGCTGAGCTATCTCCCCAGCCCTGATATGTCTTAATATGGACAGAAGTATGTCTCAAACTTCTTTTAAAAATGTTATGTTTAACTGAAATTTTGTAATTATATACTTAAGAGTTAATATATGACATTTTAATATATGTATGCAATGTGTAGTAATAAGATCAGACATTTATCATTTACTTGTATAGTAAGCATTCAAGTCTTCTCTGCTAGCTATAATTGTTGTCAGCCATAGTTATCCTACTATGCTGTAGAGCACGAGTTCTCAGGAAGGGAGTGTACCATGCCAGGTCAACCCAGTGATCTTCCTCTCCCAACCAAACCCCACATCCTAACAGCAGGTCAGCTGTGACATCCTCATAGTTCATTCACCTTCCGGAAGCCTCACCTATGAGTGTATGAGTCCCTTAAGGGACGTTCTTCACTTAAATCATAACATCCCACCCCAAATACTCCTAAAACTTTCCATGCAAATTGCATGTGGCCTATCTCCAGGAGTTTCCCAAGTTTTAGTAGTTCCACCTTGCTCAGAAGTTCAAGTCCAGAATCTTTGGTGAGACTCAAGGCAAACTCTTAGCTGTGAGGCCCCGTAAAAATCAGAAACAAAGTAAAACACTGTTGACATATATAATGGCATGGGCAAACACTCCCATTCCAAAAGTAAGAAATATGAGGATAAAAAGGAGTAGGACCAAAGGAAGGCTGAACCTAGCAGAGCAAATAGAAAATCTCATGGCTCCATGTCCAGCACCTGGGAAAACATAAGGCAACAAGAAAGACAGGAGCTCCAAAAGGCCTGGCTGGCCCCCCATCTGTAGCATTGCCAGTTGCAGCCCTTTTGGCCCCTCTTGGGGGTGGCTCCCCTCACTGCCAGTGGCTTTCCTTCATCATTCTATATTCCTGATTTTTTTGACTTCCCAGGATTTCCATCTTGCTTCTGGCCTCACTCATAGCTTCACAGGTGGCCTGCCTCCCAGTCCTTCTGAAATCTGGGTGGAGGCCTGCCTGACCCCACAACTCTTACATTCTTCACACCAGTAAAATTGGTATCATGTGAATAATGCCAAGGTCTGCCACCAGTTTAAGACTTGGGCCTTCTTAGATCATATCTACAGAGGCCTCCAAGTGCTGGAATGCCTGAACACTATGAAAGGAATCATGGGGAACTTATTCATGAACAAGGTGCCCTGGAGCTTTCAAAATGAAGTCTTTCACTTTGGGGCTCTTGAGCCTATGGAGGGCATAGGGTCATGCTGATTCTTAGGATGCCCTGATAGCATCTTTCCTATCTATTGTCCTGATGCAAAATACTTGGCTTCTTTTTTATGCTAACCTTTATAATAACCAAGCTGCTCTTTGTTCCCATTTTACAACTGCTTCCTTTTTGGCAGAAGTAAAACCTTTTTAGGTGGAGTTTTTGCTCCTATTTCTTACTATAGATCTTACTAAAAGTGGCAAACAGTACCCATTGAAATTGCTCCCACAGGATTAACTAGTTCACTGTCCCTAATCTTAGCTTGCTACAAAGTCCCAGAATATGAGCAAAATAGACAAAATTTCTGCCAGAGCATAACACCGCAGGATCTTGAGTCCAACTGTCAGTGGAGTCTTTATTCATAACTGAAACTTCCTGAACCTTGTCTTTATGATCTGTATTTTCATCAGCATTCTGATTTTCTAATCTCTGATGAGAATCTCCCTTCAAGCTTAGCTTACAGTCTTCCAGGGCTTTTCTACCTGGCATCACCTAACTTGTCCATATTCTTCCATGCACCAGTTTTAGTCATTTATAGCAACAACCCCACTCCTGGTACAAAAACAGGTCTTGGCCCTGAGTCACAATAGCTGATGCCCACAGCTTAAAGGGCAAGAGGCTTATTTGGACTCATGGGTGCCGCCCCTGCTTGGTCAGCTCCATGGCACAGCAGCAAGGCATATCGACATACTGAAGGAAAGCTGCCTGCAAGCAGAAAGAGAAGGGAGGAATTGGGGAGAGGAGCATACTTTCCCAGGTCACACCTCCAGCAAGCCACCTCTTCTGGCCTGATCACTTGTCTCAGTTACTTTTCTCTCATTGCTGGGACAAAATACCCAACACCCAAATTTAAGGAAGGAAAGGTTTACTTAGCTTAGTTAGTGGAGGTTTAAGTCCATACTTGGCTGACTCCAAGGCAGAGTGGCACATGGTAAAGTGCAGCTTTTCATGGTGATAGAAAACAGCAAAGAGCAAAGGGAGGAGCAGCAGCTATGGCTGCCAGCAAGCCCCTCTCCTCTCCTCAATTTGTGTGCAGGGTGGGTGCAGCACTCGCACCCACAATCCCAGCAATGGATCATGAATTAATCACAAACTCTAGAAGCTGCCCCATGACTGCATGAGGCTTTGGGGAGACAGCTAGACACAAACTGTAGCACCACTCATCCTAACAGTGTCATTTGTAGTGTCCCCATAATTCATTCACATTCAAAAAGCCCTGCCTGTGAGCACATGAAGCCTTTGATGGAATATTCTTTGGTCTAAACCATAACTTCCTGCTTCCCCAAGCCCTTCCCTGGTCCTGGAAACCACTGTTCTCTACTTCCCCAAGATCAACTTTTTACATTCTACATAAAGGTGGGTGTGATTAAAAAATACAGTGAATACTTCTGCTGCCAGCCATTTAATGGGAAGGAAGGAATCTTCAGTACAAGAGGGGGCCTGCCAAACCGTGGTAACAGTGTGTGACGTGTTCCAACCTGATTGGCATCAGTGGTGAGCTACAGTTGAGAGAAGGTGTGTTTTAAAGTGTGTCCTAAATCATGGTTCACAAGCGATGCATTTCATTGATGTTGTGCAGTCATGCCATTTTGGATTTTGGCTTTTTTATATTCTCTCTCTCTCTCTCTCTCTCTCTCTCTCTCTCTCTCTCTCTCTCTCTCT